TTGCCGGGTTTATGTTCCTTGTAAATCTTGTAATCGTATACTAACCATTCACTTTCTGTTGTTTGTTGTGAGAGATTATTGTTAATTCCATCAGGTTATCTTCTGATACAAAGATTAACCAGTCTAGGCGTTTTTTCCAAATCTTGCATTGAATTCAACACAAAAAGTTAAACAGAAGAAGGTTAATTTTTGATACTCTTGGTGGAGGCCAAGAATATATATAAAAGTCTACGTATATATATATATATATGCTATTTATGTATGTTTTAGTCCTACGACATTTTTTATCATAAGAGAAAAATAACTTAATTTTGATATATAAACTAATAACGCACATGAATTTTACAAAAAAAAAAAAAAAATGTAATTTACATTTTATTCTTTGGAATTATTTTGAAATAAGTTTTATCGGCCATTTTGATTCGTATGATAATTAGAACATAAACTTGAAAAGCGATGTTTACTTTTTTAATAATGTGTTCTTTATAAACATGATGATTTGGAATTTATTTTCTGACTTTACAAATAAAAAAATATTATTTACTTTATCCTCACAAAATTTGGTTGAAATTTATTCTTCTTTTTCTCTAATGCATATATTTATTCGCACGAAAATAAATTCACATTTAAATATTATAAAAATATTAATTCAGAATTAAAATACTATCTATCTATACTTTTGAATATTTATATCCCATTCCTACTTTTATTTACTTGACTTGAAGTTACAACCATCCACAATGTCAATAGCAAGATTTTTTTTTTTCCCTTGCTACAACAAATATTTACTGGTAAGCTGCAACGATATCCTTTTCTACTCAGCCTCAGAATCTCCGAATCTCATCATTACACCACATATATTCTGACCATAATTTTGGACAAACAGACAGGAAGTCAAAATACAAAACATGCCCATAACTAGTTCATGCTATGATATCCTACATTCTCATTTGCCAACAAAATAACAGGCACAAATTTGTCTCACCAACAAACATGGAGCCGATATGACATTAAAAGTGTTTGCAACGTCGTCGCTATTTTCACATACTGAACTTTTGCGGAACAGAATCAAAATCTTCACCAAAGTCGTATCTCTGTCGCTCCCTTCCAACCTGACAAAGTTACCAGTCAGTCGAAAGTTGCGCAAGGAGTGCTATCTAATGTCCGGGGTAGGGTGTTTTCTACAGTTCTCCTGCCTTAAGTGAAAATGATCACAATCCTTAAAAATAAAATGATAAATTTTAAAAAACTTTTCCCCTCTTAACATTTTCCTACTTGTGCTCGAACAAACTTAACCAATGTTTGACTAGCATTCGTTCACATTTGGTAGTTTTATGGTACAATACTGGATAAATATCTAGTACAACATGAAGATAATAAAAAGAAACACTATTGTTTGTTTTGTTTGACAAATACATGACACATACTATAACTGTGGTAAAAAAATTCTTTTTGATCAGTACCGAGTTTTAAGTACATGATAATGGTTATACCTTTTTCTACAGTACATGTTTCTAATTAGTACCGAGTTTTAAGCTACTAAACATAGTGTTCGGCAATAGTATGATACTGAACTTAGCTGGTGTATTACACTAAGCAAATCCTACAGAATTAACAGACTCACCTTTGCTAGGTATAAAGGATCACAGGATAGAGATTCATCCATAGTGGTCAGCTTCCTAGATAGTGCCATTATCCTGGAATTAATAAGAGGCAAAACCCATTAGTGATGCTTCCATGCATGATCAGTGACAGTTATAGCATACATGTCAAAAGTTACCGGCGATGAGCCAACTGGCAAGCACTCTGACTACATCTAAAAGCAGCTTATATGCATCTTATTGAACTCTATCAAATTGTTAATCCAAGAGTATGTTGCTATTAGGTGTTCTATAAATAGTTTCTAAAATAAGAACGTTGCCCTCTAGCTTGTTATATACTATTCCTTAACATGCTAATTATATATTTAATTTCATACAATTTTTTTCACCAAACTACAAAAGCTACTAATTTTCATAAGTCAAAATCCAACTGCTTTAAGGCTACATTAGTAGGTCTGAAACAAATGAATTATTTTTGTGGAATTTATTCAGACATCCATTCCAGTTCGATTATGAGAGAATGAAGCTTTTAACTCTAAATCAATTTTCAACATTGCAGTAAACTCATTTTTCATTCAACTTCTAGTCTAAGTTTTCATATTAATCTTAATATGCAGAACATAATTTATTATGCTTGAGTTACTACTATCTCCCTGTCCAATGATGAGAGTTTGACCCCAGCGTGAATTTCCAACAAAAACTGGGTGGTGATAATTCAACAAATTACTTTCTACTAACGGATATTAATACAAGTATGAAAAATGGAACTATGAACCGACTAGGAGAAAACACCAAATACAACCTGGGGGAATTTCAAGTGAAACTGAAATTATCATTTTATTTTTTGATGGAATTTGAAATATAATGTCTCAATTCCAATTAGTATTCTTTGTGAGTTGAATTTTCATTCTCTTGAAGTGGAATTGTCACTAATTCATAGTTGAAAAAAGAACTAATTTTCAAATGAACTCCACAAGAATAGGTTATTTATTTTAAACATAATCTGTTATTTAGAAAGACTAATGCTTTAAGTACATTTCCTTTATCAATCATTAGTCATTCAAACGAGAGCTTTTTTCTTTTTAAGAAAAAAAATATACTAGGTCTTGTTTTGATGGAGTTGCACTATTACAAATTTTAACTTCTTAATTCTGATTAGATATTATCTCCATATAAACATTGCATAACATACCTCTGAATTGATGAGTCAATATGCTCAATCATCTCACAGGTTTTATATTGTTCAGATCCTCAAGGAATCTAACCATTCCATCCTTCTGGTTGATTGTTGCATATATTTGACCATCTTGGATCTAAATTGAACATGGAAATGTAAGTGGCTGACATTGCCATTTTAACTAAGATAATATTTGTACAAAGTTAGACAACAAATTACCATTTGAAGCACATGCATCTCTGCTTCCTTCGAGCTACTTAAATGCACTGTGCTGGCTATATCTTCAAGTGATAGAGTTAGATATGTTTGGGTCAATCTCTGGATATTACGCTTATACATGGATGACACAGCCTGCTTCACAAGTCCAAGGTTGTTGTCCTGAAAAAAAGACCAATCCCCATTTAAGTGGGAAAAGAAGGGAGGAAAACTCGTTAAAATGCCAAAATAATGCCAACAACCCAAAATAACAGACTTTAATACAAGACAAGACACAATGTAAAACTTACACTTTCAAACTTTTCCCTGTTTGTTTGAACATATGTCTCTAGTTCTGAAATCTTCCCAGAGTTATAACTATTTGCTAATTCAATGTAGGGCTGCTCGAGAGAAAAACTAAGAACTTAGTGAATAAATCCAACCAGATATTCAAACAGAACATCTAAAGTTTCACAAACAATTAGCACAACGTTGCAGGCGGAATTAATATATCATGTGTAAATGACAGACTTCACTTGTTTTCATCTAGTGCATATATAATGCTGAAACTTGTTGCCAAAAAATGTTTCTGATAACAAAAAGAATATGTAAAGCAAATCAAGCCTTCCAGTCAATCTAAGTGAACCATTGTAATTGACGAGCATGTAACTCAGCAGGTACATATTTGGAACATGACAGCTACGAAAGTTGGAATCTTCCAGTCAATCTAAAGGATTCCACATATTGTTAGGGCATACAGTCTGTTCTACATGGGTTATTTATTTCTCAACCTTAAAAATACTTAATTCAGAGTAGACCCAAGTCTAATATGAATGTTAAACTTAAATTCCAGAATACCTGACAAAAGTTCTTCAGGTTCCTCTGAGCTACTGTAGAAGTATACTTAGGAAGACTGGTAGAGAACTGCCACAATAAATCATCTGATAAGTAAACAGGGAAAAGAATTTCTTCATCAACCAAAACTATTCTTTTTTTGGCTTCAATATTAACACGACTGGATTTCTTGCAGACATACAAAAGCACCCGACATAATGGATTACTACAAAAAAGGAAAATGCTATATTTAGATAGAAAATGCTATATTGCATTTTTTAAGAGAGAAATACCATATTACTTTTTCAAGGAATAGCCTCCACAATTTAGACTATTTTGACTGTATTCTTTAAAAACTTCTCCAAACCATCTCCAGACCAGGATTATGGAATATACAAAGTAAAGCAATAAAACAAAAGAATGTAACAAACCTGTCCATTTAGAATGAGTGAAACCAATATGTATTTTTTGTATGCCTCAACAACTATAGCATTGATGCTATTCATAGGAGCAGTTACAACCTATGAAAACAAATGGCAAGCATAAACATAATTTTCATAAACAAAATTGCATCATGATATCAAATGAGCACAAGTTTTAAGTAAATGGCACACATTGTGCAGAAGCTCCAATGCCTTCTGAAAAAGCTTTTGCCCAATGCATATCATTCCCCTGTCACAATGTCAAATGTGAAATACAGTCAGCAAAATCCTTCATTATCATACTGCAGGGATGGAAGTGACTACACCAAGCCCAATCAGACATCAACAAAACAGATATAACAAACTATTAGTACTACAGACTGAATAATGCTCGTAGAAAGTAGAAACACAAAAAAGTTGGCAGCCCTTTTGCTAGATAACCATTGTAAAAATCCAGTTCTATCACTAGGAATAAGATCTATCACTGTTAAGTATCTTTTAGGGGATAACAGAGTGTTTTTAAACCTTGAACATAGCAACAAGAAACTATTGATCAGATTTCAAATATCTGCTACTCCCGTCATCGTAATATCGCATGTGGTTGTTCTTAATCTCATTTCCTGGCATGATAATGTACCAAAAAAATCCAAACAAATGCTTCTGATAGTCTACAATGAAACTACAAGCAACACAAGGGAAGCTACAAATAATCAGTATCAGACAAAGTACTATCAAATATGGAGGTTTTCCAACAAAATGGATATTAAAAATTTGTCATGTGACAATATTACATATAAGCAAGGAAAGCAACTTACCCATAGTAACAGTATAGGAAAAGGTCCCTCGGCTGATCGACCTCAGAAATGTCATCATACAAAACAGAAAGACCAGTTTTATAGCATTTGGCCAACAGACAGAGCAAAAGAAGCTCTGGATGTAAAGTAGTTAAATTTTCAGCAGAAGTCTGAAGCTTCCGGATAGCTGTTAGCATTGGAGCCACACCCCTCAAGGGTGCCTCAAGCAACAAAAGTTGATCCTTGAATTTTTTGCAGACAGATACAACTGCAAAGAAAAAACAAGCATCAACAAATACAAAAAATGTCCCAAAACTGTTGATAGCAATTTCATTACAAGTAAATATAAGTACACTTCTCAGGTGCCAAACGAATCTGCTCCGGACTGCAAGAAGTTATAAATCTGGCGATGATCAAAACCATTGGTTCCGCTTGTTCTTTTGTAGTTGGACCAGATACACATGCATCACTGCCACAACCAAAAAATGCACAGTGAGAACCCAGTAACAAATTCCATTTCTTCCACTATCATAAACCTGATTAAGGAATCCCCACGTTCAATCCATGAATTACAGAAGATATAGCTCATATATCAGTATCTTTTTCTCCCACTAGCATCTTAATGAAGATAACTAAATCAAATCATGAAGTCTACTTCAAGTGTCAATTTAACTTACAGTTCTACTCAAATTGAAAAGCAACTCAACAACAACCAACTTTTTCATAGTTCTTATAATCCAGTAACCACATCAACAAAACCCCACAACTCAAAATAAAAATTTCCACTTCTTTCCTTCATTTTTCTCAGCAACCACACAAGAACTTTCCGTCTTTCACCATTCTGGTCCCCACTTTTGCAGAGACAAATAGACGATCCTATTTAACGTATAATCCCTCAAAAACAACTAAAACCTAATATGCCAAACAACTATACTCATATTTTATGGAAGGGGACGATGAATTGGCCAAGAAGAAGGAGAAGGAAACTCACAGGAGATATAGGTAGCCGAGAGAGTGCTTGGAAGGGTCAAGCTGATCGAGACAAGACGCCAACCGAGTCGACTCGGCGCGAAGTGAGTCATCCACTCCTTTAAGAACATTATGAAGCGAAGCGACATCCGAGGCGCTTCCTGACAACCCCTGGATTTGGGCGATTACAGATTCCAGCGAATTCATCATCACCTTTTTCAAATGGATTATCAGAGATGCTCAGGAAAAAGAAATCTGCTCGAGTGTGCTTAAATGATGGCGAGTGAGTGAAATGGCGAACGAAATATATAGGGTTAAGTGACTCGTGCTAAACTCGGCATGTGACTCACTGAGTCCGACTCGTACGTAAATATAGTTCCAAGCGAGGGTAAAAGTGTCATTTCGTAGTTATCTTCCAGATCGAAAAAGAAAAATGAAAACGAATCGAAGGGAAAAAGCAAATCTTCTTCTCTGTTATGTGAGGTTAAAAAATTGCTGCTACTGCTGCTGCAACAATCAACAAGTTCATCTCTTGGGGAGAAACAGCAATCAATGGCGGATTATCACTTTGTATACAAGGACGTGGAGGGAGCATCAACGCAGTGGGATGATATTCAGAGGAAATTGGGTAATTTGCCACCGAAGCCTCCTCCATTTAAGCCGCCAGCTTTCACGCCGGCGGAGGACGGGGATTCCGCCAGAAAAGACAAGGATTGGATCGATAACAAGACGGAGGATGAACTCGAGGGGCTAGAAGACGATCTCGACGACGATCGCTTCCTTGAGGAATACAGGTTAAAGTTGCTTCTTTGCCTTTCTTTCTCGCCAAATGGATTCCCTGTTTTAACCAAGCTGAAAATGAATAGAGTAGCTAACTTTTTTCAGCTGGATTATTTCATGATTGGCATAATTTGTAATTAAATTGAATTTTTATGCTTGATTTGATAGAACGTACTGATTATTAATTGATTTCATTATTTGATTCATTTGGTGAAAATGTATGACCAAATTGATTTCACATTAGAGGATGAGATGGTAGAATTTGTCGTGCTGCTCAACTTACGTGTTCAAAACATTTATGAACTTAGAAAAATGAAAACTCAAAAAGCTTTCTACAACTAAACATGGTCTAATTTTGATCAGTATATGCCCTCTCTTTATGTTGATAGGAAGAAGAGGTTGGCTGAGATGAGAGAAGCAGCTAAGATTATAAAATATGGGTCTGTAATTCCTATTTCGGGATCTGATTTTGTGCGAGAGGTTTCACAAGCTCCACCAGATGTTTGGGTTGTTGTCATTCTCTACAAGGAAGGGTAATTATTAAAGATATTCAATACATTTTCAGGGCTCTAAATCTGTGGCATTGACTTCTATGCTGTTTGCTGATAGATTTCCTGAATGCGGGTTGTTGATGAATTGCTTGGAAAATTTGGCAACAAGATACCCAGCAACAAAATTTGTCAAGATAATATCTACAGATTGCATTCCCAACTATCCAGATTATAATCTTCCAACACTATTAGTATACAACAATGGTGCTGTGAAAGCAAATTATGTGGGCTTACATAGTTTTGGCCGGAGATGCACACCTGAAGGTATACTCTATTTGATTGTTCATCAAAAGTTTCAGTGGTTTTGTTCAAGGTCCATGGCTGCTTTCCTGGTTCTCATAGTCTTAGTTAATTGTTACTGCTATTGTTACTTTTACAATTGTTTTCCATGAAATTTTTGCTTAATCTGATAATCATTTTATGAATTGTTGGTGTCAACTGCAACAAAGAGTCCAATAAGAACGGTCTTTTAACTCTTCCCTTTTCATTCCTGAATACTTTTACACTCCGCCTTGTACTTTCCTCTCTTGGCCGTATGGATTAGCTGGTTTCTTTACTTCCTGTTCTCTTCCCACCTAAATCTTATAGGCAAACAGCAATCGGATCTTGTTAAAGTTACCTTGCAGTCTTCTCTAAACTCTAGCTTTAACCATATCTTATCTAGTAATGCCAACCTGCACAAATTTCAGGCAACTTTTTGCTATTTCTCTTGCAACTTGGGGATTATACATGATCCATTTGATTTTGATTCCTATATTATTCCTTAATTATTAGACTATCGTAATATATAAATACCAGAGCAATCTTCATGTTTGAAACAGTTTTTTACTCCTATTTGAACTCCTTTAGAGTAGATCTTGGTTCCTACTTGCAAAGGAATATGAGAGGGAACTGAACGAGAATTCCAGACCTTAGTACCAGGTACATAAGTGGGATTAATGGATGCCTTGTCATTTCAATTTCAAATGAGAGGGGTAGACTAAAAAGATTACTGAGGTTGTTCCCTATGATAGAACAGTATTTTTCTTGAAAAACAGTACTTTTCTATATTCTTTGTTCCTTGATGCTATATCATGATACCTCTAGGTAATTTAAAATGCTCTTTTGGAGCAACGTTCTTTTACACAAGATCTCTATCATGTTTAAACAAACACTCTTCCATGCCTTCCCTGCAGGCGTAGCTTTAGTCCTCTGTCAATCGGATCCTGTTCTCAACGATGGCCAGGGAGGTGATTCATCAAGAGAAGCTGTGATTGAAGGCGTTCGAAGGCAATTCATAGAGAAAGTTGTAAGAGAGCATGAAGATGACGATGATGATGGATCATCAAGTGACTAGGGATTTTATTAATTCTGTATATTGTCTTCTTTTCTTGTGTGAGGGGAAGAGAAAAGATTGTGTGCACTGAGATAGAGAACAAGTACTTTGGCTTACTGGGCGTCACTTTGCAGCCAGTAATTTGGTTAAGGAAGATTTGTCATTTTCACGATTGACATTAGGTTTGTATTTTATACTTTAATTTAGTTTAAAAGAATTTTCAGATCATTTATGTGCTAATTTCATTACAAACATACTCTAAGTAACAACTAAAAATTAAATAGCTTTTCCTTACCATACAAGATTTAATGACAAACCATGCAACAAACAGAAAGATTTCAACTTAAATTTCAAGGACTTGTGAAAATCAATGGCATGTTTTCTTCAATGTATAAGAACATACCTGCTATTCAAGCGAGGGAGCAATTACATTCTACGATTTGCTAAATTATAATTACTTCATAATTGTAATCTTCAGAAAAATTGTAATAGTGATTCATGGATAAGGGTTATAAATTAATTGTGTTCCATTCAATAAATCAAACATACTATAACATACTGCAATTACAATCGTCAAAAATTTGCCTTATTTGGTATTTCAAAATCAGAGCGATAACTTCGATAGCATAATAGAATCATTTTATAAATGACATTTAAGCAACAACAGGAGCAGAAGAAAAATAATATCTCCCGAGTCAAACTTGAGAGCTTTTAACAACTAGGAACAAAATTAACCACTCAATTTCCCTTTCGCTTAAATTTTTAAGCATGTCAACACAATCCAGTGCTCATCCCAGAAAGGAATTATATAACCAAAACCATCCACGTGCAGATCTTGATGGGAACATACAGACAATACTTATGCCGATCAGCTGACCAACATGGCTAATGCTTTTTCAGATGCATAACCATTTT